TCTCAGAAACTATAAGGATTTTACAAATTTTTTTTTTACAATATTGACTCCATTTCTCATGTCGCATCTATTCCCAATTTTTTTTGGATAAGTTATGAATCACCCTGTATATCTTAGTCGACATTTTTTCATTAAAAGTGTTTAGATAACACACTGACAACTAATGAGGAAATAAATAGTGAAAATAATGGAAAAACAATTGAGAACCTTTTTCCGCCGACAATGTTTGGTGTGAAATATTTACACAACATAAAATATTTCCCGTGACGGAAAGTAACTGTCCCTGATCCCAGGAGCGTTTATATAGATTTCAAATATTTTACAGAGCCAGAACGGCGGCGTTGGTGCCAAGCAATAAAAGCGAAATAGAATTGCCTCGCTTTAGAGTAAAGCAGGCAACACAACTTTTCTTGAATTATTTACTATTGCAAAAATACGATCTACCGGAGTCGATCGCGGGTCAAATGAACTCCTTTAAAGTGACAATTGTGTTTCGTGGCCCACGTCGGAATTTACATTTAAAAAGGTGTTTTATGTTCATTCACGGTGGGGCCATGATAAGTTTCCACCTCCGACAGATTTCAAGATTTGATGTTTAGCAGCGGCAAGTGCCGATCGAAATTTAAGTCACTTGAATGTTTGTTACTTTGACTAGAGTTTGACACCGCTTAAGAATAGACTAGCAGTAGAATTATTTTTTAAACAAACATTACCTTTAATGAAAATATAAAACATATTTGTACTATTTTCATTATGATTGTGTAAAAGAAAATTTCGGTCATAAAAGCACTAGTCCGATGTGACTGTTAGGCAACCAAACTTACAATAATCAGTGATATAAAATTCCCTAAAGACAATTGATACACCAGTGGAGTACATTTTAGATTTCTTTACAAACTTTGAACTTTAATCTACAAAATATGTTTCTTTTTCAACAGAAATTTCTTTACTTTTTTACTTACCAAAATAATCTTACCCCACTAAGATATTTTGAATTTTTATTCCATTCTATATTGAAAAGTATTTTTTGATTGATTGAAGGTTATTCTTTAAAAAACGTAGGCTCTTTTTCATTCAAAGGTAATGAAAATAATGTTAATAAAAGGTATACGAAAAGTTTGTTTTATTATTATTATTTTTTTCAATATTTAAATATAAATTTTGAGTAAACTAATTTACTCTCGCTAACATAAACATACAGTTTTTTACTCAGCTAACAAATATTTATTGTACAAATTAAATGTATAATGCATATTCAAAATGACCACCTTCATTTTCCTGCGTTTCGTGCACTCAAAAATGCGTTCAAGTTCATTTGGTGTTATAATGTTTATGTCATGTTCAATAATTGCTGTTTCTAGCTATTCAAGTGTGTGGAGAGGATGTTAAAATATATTATTTTTGAAATGGCCAAACAGATAAAATCTAAAGGCATGAGATCAGGGCTTCGCGCAGGCCACAAACCTCTAGTAATCAATCTCTCCCCATAAAATTCCTGAAGATATCGTATAGTTTCTGCTGCAGTATGTACAGTGGCTCCATCTTGTTGAAAATACCCATGCTGCAGTTCATCGTCACTTATTAATTCCAGGGCTTGTAAAATATTACGGTATCGTTGTCCATTTATTACTTCTCGGAAAAAAATTGGTCCTATTATATATCTTCTTGAAACTGCAACTGATACCTATCTTCTGAGGATATAACCTTTTTTTCAATAAACTGTGTGGAATTTATGAGGCCCTAGATAAATGTACCTATGACTTATCGGATTAATGTTAAAAAATTATATAATTCAAAATATATTAACTTTATCACGGTACCTACCTATTTGATTATATATAACTGCGAAATAGGATTCACACCATTTGTTGTCGAATATTAGTCAAATTAAATTAATTTTTTAGGAGAAATAATTTATAATGTTTTTAAAATTTGGGTGCGATCTCCTTACATACATGCAAATACAGATCAACAGAGTTTCCATCTATTCGGAGGGTGCTTCATCCCTTTTTGCTTCAGAAGTCACCCTCTAATGTGACCTCGCGCCAGTTTTTAAATTTTTCTCAAAAACTGCTGCTCTAACTAGGAAAATAAATAGGACCTAAAATATTCGGCATAAAATACTATATCATTTATGTCCTATAAACTTTTTTATATTGTTAATTTTAAAGAATAGAAGTAGAAGCTGGTATCTCAATTGTTGGTACCAAAATTTAGCTAATTGTTTTCTATCCCCATTCATTAGGCTTCAAATTTTCTCCACGTCACGAATGAATTTGTTGAAAAACGCAATTCGAATGTTGTTCTAAAGCAGCACAGCAAGCTAGTGTGATTTTGTCTCCAGCTCGTTCAATGTCTGGTTTGATCGATGATGGATTGTTAAATGTGTGCAAAGCATCGTCTCAGTCCCTTCTAGTATTTATTAAATTTACAGTTTGTGCTTTTCCTTTGCCAAAAAATGCTGACGTAGTATTACATCCTCTGAAAGCGTGAGCAAATAATATATTTCTTTTACAGTTATGAAGGACTTCCGAATTCTGTAAATCGAAAGAACTATATGCTAAACTAAACTAAACATATTTAAAGATATGTTTTACGTTTTATGATACAATTTACATTAAATATTAAAAAAACGAAAAGGATTATATTAATAATTTATCGCAAAGCTATTAGGCAAAGCTTTATTTTGTTAAGTAGTCCAAAATCCGCTGTTAGTTTTAAGCACCTATAATTTTTCTCAAAAGCCATCGTAATTTTAAGGACTTTGTCTTATCTTTACCAGCATTAACCTATTTCAAACGTCATTTATGAGATTAGGGCTGGATATAGGAAAAAATGTATAGGACACAAATGATGTAGAAATTTATGGTGAATGTGTTAGGTCATATTCATTTTCCTCGTCAGAGTAACAGTTTTTGAGAAATATCAGAAAACGGGCACCAGGTCACGAAACTGGGTGGTTTCTAAAGCAAAAATTGATGAAGCACCCTACTGAGAGGTGGGAACTCTTTTGATCTGTATTTGAATGTCTGTTAAGTCCGTACCCAAATTTTTAAAACTTTATAAATTATTTCTTTTATTTGCCATTTTAATTGCTAATTTACTTCGATTATATCTTCAACAATATTTTCTGTTGAAACAGCAGGTCTGCCTGTCGACTTGCCCTTGCAAATGCAATGCTTTTCCTCATCTCTTTTAATAAGAGTTAATTTGTGGTTTTTAAACACACCATATACGCATATACGATATTAGTAGCAGGAAGGCTTCAACAAATTGTTCCATACAGGATTGCAAATAGTAAGACCAAATTCCATTTGCATTCTGTGTACCACTGAGAAAATGTGCTCAAATTAAATGCGTCTTGTTTCGGTGTAAACGGCATTTTTTACACAAATCTACAAGAAATAAGAAAGTAACAAATGCAACATAACCTTAAAATACTCGTTTAACTTACGTCAAAACGTCGAATTTTCGGAGTTCTGAAAATAACATTCTATTTCAACTCAACAGGCAAAGATTAAATTGTAGAAAAGCACAGAAAAACTGGTAAACCCTGCCACATTGTACAAACAATAACACGAAAAATTACGAACGCCTGTGGATTGACATTTTATCTAGGGTCCTAAGTTGGTGATTTTTCTTAGTAATTTCTGAAACACCAATTTAAGAAAATAAAATTTACTGAGCACCAAAACAAATCTGGTCACAAGGAAATTGGGCATTTAAGAACGCACTGTAGATATGAACACGTAAAAACATACAAAAGTACGACAGTTCAGATAAATCTATTGATAATACTAATAATATTCCAGCGGAAAAAGTTATAGGTTTACTGAGAGATAAAAACAGTGGTAAAATAGTTAAATAGTTCAAAAATTAAATTTCAATGTAACTTCTGCCTTAGACAAAAAGGTTATAAAATATGTAAGCAAACTGAACCAACATACAGAAAATGTTATTTTAAGCAAAATGTTTCCTGTGAATATGGGCCCTAAAACGCTTAGTAAAACAGACACAGGCTGCTAAAGGCATGTTTCTTAAATAACTCCAAAATAAAATATGAGATCCAAATAAAATTTGGCGCAGGCCTTTATATGGAAATATGAATGTATATTATTATGGAAATCCAAAGTAAACAAGAAAGACTAGAAATTTGAATCATTTTTCATGTAATAAGCGAAAATGTATGTTTTAAACGCACAAAATTTTTGAAATAAATATTTCACGAACACAAAATTTTAAAGAGTAGTATGTTTAATACGTGTAAAGAGTTTGGGATAAATATACATACACAAATATGTAATAACATCTAAATTATTTAAACATAACATAATATTGTTATAAGTACCAATAAATTACAAAGAAGAATAACATAAGTCTCTGAAGATCAGCGTTAGTTTTCGAAGGGTCTGCTATTACATAGCAAACATATCCGTATTCTTTTTCTTGAAGAAACTACATTTTTTCTTTTCAGAAAATTGTTATTTATAATTTCATTACAATCTTACCGTTAAAAATAACTTTTATTTGTTTTTGCATAGGGTGTCCAAAAAGTGCCGCCCGTCCTTCTGAGTTTTGATTAAAGGGGCAAAAACAAGTCGAAAATCAAGAGTGGAAAATTTTCCGATTGTATTTCTTTGTTGAATTAAGTATTCAAAAAATTATTAAAAAAGAAAAACTGAAAATAAACATTTGGGCTGGGTTATTAAATAATTATGTAGTTCAGAACTGTATTTGCTGTGGCTGTATGTTTGTAAATGAAAACTTACCATTGCCATTGCTGAATAACGTTCCGCTAGCAGTTAGACTGAATTATTGAGTTCAACATGATGAAGCTCCATCATATTATGGTTTATGAGTATGAAATTATCTCAATCAAAACTTCCCAGGCAGATGGATTAGAAGAGGTGGACCCATAGCAGGGCCTCTTAGATCACCAGATCTGAATCCCCTAGATCTTTCCTTTAGGGTTATTTAAAACAAAAGATTTACAGCGAACCTGTTGTAAATCCAGAAAATGTAGTAAACTGTATACACGCTGCTGTCGCGTTAATAGATCAAAATATGCTACAAAGAGTTTATGCTTCAATGTTGAATCGTGCCAATCTTTGTCTTGAAGTAGAACGCAACTTATTTGAACACTATTTGTAAAAACAATTTCTATTATGGTTTTAATTTATAAGTTTTTTTCCCCTCCATTTTATAAAATTGTTTTATTATTGCAATGTTTTCCTCTATCCTTTTTAGGTTAAAATTATTCCTTATACCCAGGTACAACCGACAATCGAAAACTGTACTTACCTACTATTGATTATTTGTCTTGGTCCCTATAAACGCAGATCTCAGTTTTGAGACAAAAAAATTGAATTTTCAATTTTTTAGTTTTTTTGAATATTTTTTTTTTCAAAGAAAAACAATAAGAAAATTTTCCACTCCTGATTTTCAATTCGTTTCTGTCCCCTTAATCAAATTCCAGAAGGACGGGCGTCACTTTTGGAACACTCTGTATCAATATATTGTAACAATATCAGACTATGTTTGTATACTTTTCTGTATTTAATATATATTTGGTTCAGGTTCCGCTGTTCTATAGGTTTTTGAAAAGTTGTAGGGCTTGTTGCGCTGTTAACCATTACTATGCAATTTAAAATCTATGAGAATACATAAATCTGACGAGCATTTGTTTTTTAGTGTCTGTATAATTATGTATTAACCAAGCGTTCATAAATATTTTGAAAATGGTTATAGGTCTTGATGTTACGCTTTACGAATGGGGTTGAACCTCCATATTCTACTTCACTAGCAATTTTGCACGTTTTTTTGCGTTTTGGTTACTCCAGCCTATTTCTGCTACTATGGCTAAACACCGACGTCAGAAAACGAGCAACCCTCAACCTGGTAATTTTGCCGAATCCCCACTTTGTCTTAGGATAGGAATCTTTTACTTGCCTAATATTGTTTACACAAGGTACCATTGGTTTTACATCATTTCCGAGGGATGGTACATCTTCCTATACAAATCTCGCCGAAATTTGTATAGCTTCTGTGAATACACCGACTCCACTGGGATGTGGACGAGCATCGCGGGCATTTCCCGGATGGTCACGATAAGTACCAACGCGGTCAGCGTTGCTGGATTTTTCATATCAGTGACTTGAATACCAAGTCGATAGGCCGCACTAGCTCTAATAGCAACTGAAATGAAAAATGACTAGTATTGTTTTGTAAGTATGTACTTAATGTAAGCTTTTCTCTATTAAAGTCTTGTGAAACATTTAGTAAATTTCAAGACAATTGGTTTCCAGTTTTTAAATAAATGAAATAAAATATATGGATTTTGTAGTATGAAAAGAGTGTTGTGAATTTTAATAATTACGAATCTCTTAAAACAGGAACTTTTGATCAAATTATGAATTTGAAAAATATTATGTTATTAAAGTACCCCAAGATTTACGTTCGCGAAATAATCATATGTATTAAAAATAATTTAGGTACCTACTTACAAAAAAGCAAAATTCAGTAATTTTTAAATGCACAAGTACAAAACAAACTACAACATATGCTCAAAATGACCTTCGAATCCTATTTTCGCGCACTCGCTGGAAAATACCCGGATTTATCCTTATTATCAAACTAGAAGTGACCCGGCAAACGTTGTTTTGCCATATAAATTAATCCTAGGATTATTTTAGTAGATTTTTCATAAAGAAATTTCACTTCTACCATCTATATTATATTTAGTGTTATTCAGTGTATATCGTGTATATATTTTTTGTATGAATGGTAATAGTAAATGTCATTATTAGGGTTGATGCACAAACAATAATAATGGCCGAAAACTGTAGGGAGTGAGAAACGGCTCATTGTGTGAGAGAGATCTCATCCCTACTCCGTGCTGTTTACTGGGTCAGCAGTGACACCGGTCGACGCCTGGCGGGGATAAAAAAAATGATCAAGTGATAATTGATCAGTTATCGACCGGGGTTGAAAATGATTGAATTACTAATATCGCTATTAAAAAATAAGGGTTGATGGTAGAAGGGTGAAAATTTAGGATTGTATGTATTTTTTAAGGCCACATCATAAAAAAATAAAAAAATAAAATTTTGTCCAAAAAACAACAAAAAAAAATTTTGGGGTGGACCACCCTTAACATTTAGGGGTATGAAAAATAGATGTTGGCCGATTCTCAGACCTGCCCAATAAGCACACAAAATTTCATCAAAATCGGTCCAGCCGTTTCGGAGGAGTACGGGAACGAACATTGTGACACGAGAATTTTATATATAAGATAAGGATAAATCCGGGCAGCGACAAAAATTCGTTCTCACAAGTCTTCGAATTTCAGATACCAACTGCATTGCGTATTGTTTACCTTCACCTTAGTACCTTGTTAACCGCCGCGAAATTGTCACATTGCTCTACATGAATTTTAACGAATTTTAAATTTATTACAACGTTAATTATTTTTTAGAATTAAACAAAGAAGTTGAAAAAGAGATAAACATTGTATTCTATGCACGCATTTTAATGTATTCTATCGTCTGTTAAAATTAAGGCAGCCAAACTTCTAACACCCTGTATACCAAATGCAATGGTAAATTCTGTGGTATGAAGTTTTAAGGTGTTGTAGAAGAATATACCGTTATTCTGATGATAAAATCTATGTATGTTTAATTTTAAGATGAACCCTTTTTCCCAGAAAAATTGCGCTCAAGCGCATGTTCATGAATATTCAAGATACAAATAAATGAATTTTCATTGCCCCAACACTTCTATACATACTTAAAATAATAGAGGCGCGGAATTAATTCTAAGATAAACGCGATACAAATAGAAGAACGTCTGAACGCTTCTAACATTGAAATGGGAACGTCCTCGAGCCTGTCATTGTTACATGATAATCACGTAGGCCTGGGATTTCATAATTTACTTCTGCCACTTACGACTTCCATTCTCCGCTCTCGCGAAGATGAACGAACTCATTTTCCCGACTGGCGGAGGAATGCATTGTTTTCACTTGCGTTTCAGCTTCTGTTCCGTGTAAGTACTCCAATTTAAATCAGAAAGGCCTACATACATAGCTGGCACAGAATATTTTACCGAATGAAACGCGTTAAATTAATTAGGTAATTGGTAATCACAGGGATTTTATAAGGGAGTTGCTATCTAGTATTTCCGTTTCCAAGTTTGACTAAATATATACGGAGCCTTCATAAATCATTACAAGCCGAACTTAGGCAACCAACATTGCATGATTGGTACTGTTAACTAAAAATTCCTAAATCTTCGCATCGTCAGTCTTAATGATTCGTTTACATTGAACAGTGACAAACCGGTGAGTCTACCCTTGAAATAATGCGATTGCTGATTGGTTGAATAAATTGTCGTGAAAATTTATATCAGCCGGTGAAACAGAATCGTGCATTTTAACGTATCTTATCTTATTACTGATGACAAAAGATGTGCAATGAAAGGAGATTAAATTCGGTACCAAGATCGAGGTCTTGGTACCGATTTTCCTAGACATTTTCAAATTTGGTTCCTTACAAAGGAGGAATGTTACTACAATTTTGGAAATATGCTTGTTTAATAAAACTACCAATTGGTTAATTCTTCAATTAAAGATAACGTGTATAGAATTCGTCTTTTATAAATGAAAAAATCAAAATCATAACTATTATTATTTTACAGAGCTGAACCTTCGCAGATAGTTAAAAATTTTTAGAGTAATGTTTCTTTTTACCAATTTTTGTTACTTTGCATTTCAAACAAAACATTTATATACATTCTTTTTTAATTTTTTTGCGTTTACTTTGAACAGATGTCACAGTTTTATTTTGCCGCTATACAACTATTATAGTCAAGGAATTAAAGCACAAAAAGAGCCGAAATCTCTAGGGGCCCACAGTCGTGCATGCGCCATATTATAAGATGATTTCGAAAAGATGGCCCCGAAAAAAACCCTGATGCGATTTTCGGCTCGTATACGCGAATTTTACAGGAAACGTGCCGGAGATGACGTCCATGTCCAGGTTTCGGTACACAAGGTATCCGGGGGGTGCTCGCCGACGCCAGATTAGGAATCAGCGACCCGAAAAACCCCCGGGTGTCAAGTCTGGTTGCATTTAAGAATGAAACGGGACAGAAAATTGGGACAACCCTGATGTGTTTCGTGGACTCATAAATTTTAGTGCAGATCTTGACGACATATTAATGAAATTCAGGAGAAGCCTCGGAGATGACGTTCATCATCAATCCTAAGCTCCAGGTCGGCGATGGACCAATTTGGGATCAGCGACCTCGAAATCCCCCAAGACCCTGATTTAAATCCATTCCAGGCATTATTAACCGAGTTATGAATTTTTTCTAAGTGACTAGAAAATACATTTTTCCGGATGCATTTTGCACTGCAATTTGGCCGAAAAACATAATTCAAAGTTGCTACATTTTTTTCAAATAATTTAAGAAACCGAATGCAAAAAACCCCATCTTGATATGACTTGATCGAAAAATTCAGTGCTTTATTTCCTCGACTATTAATTAATTCATCGACTAACCATCTTGATGGTATGATGAAGCAGTTGTTAAGCGTTAATTTTTCCTTGATTTTGTTTTTGCTCATGTGTCAGGTGATCAGCGTCCTTATTAAGAAGTTTCCCTGATGGGTTGTCGCAGGGTCGGTTTGTTAGATTCTGGTGCTTCTAGAACTTTAGTAGGCAGTTCCAGTTATAAAATTTTGAGAAGTCTTGGCTTAGTCCTGAAACCTACCAAGATTACTTGTACTGTTAGTAACGGTGAGACTGTAGTGAGTTTAGGTTTCATTTTGACTCCTATGTGTTTAATGGATAATACTCGAATTATAGATATCTTGGTAATACCCGAATTACCTCATCAGCTAATTTTAGGTGTAGATTTTTTGTTGTCTATGGATATTATTCCCCATCTTAAGCAAAGAGTTTGGCATTTTTCCGATTCTGATCCGATGGTTAGAATAAATAGTGTTCAGAGTAGTTCTCGTTAAGCCCTTCACAGAAGAACTTGATACATGGTTGCAAAGAACAAACAGTTAATGGTTACTTCAAAAGGTCGAACTCATCTTGTGCAACACGATATTGAACTTATGCCTGGTACCAAGCCTATTAAGCAACGATATTACTCTGTTTCTCCAGCTAAGCAACAAGTTATAGACGATGAGATTAAGAAAATGCTAGAGGATGATATCATAGAGCCTTGCAAAAGTCCATGGTCTTCACCAGTTTGTCTAGTACAGAAGAAAGATTATACTAATCGTTTCTGTATATACTATAGACAGCTAAATGCTGTAACTCGTAAAAATGCTTATCCATTGCCTCTGACTGCTTTTGGATAGATTATGAGATTGTAAATATCTCAGTAGCCTAGATATTCGTAGCGCATATTTCCAGGTCCCCTTTTCTGAATAGAGATTACACTGCATTTACGGTTCCAAATGGACTTTATCGCTTCAAGGTTATGCCATTTGGTTTGACTAACGCACCGGCAACCTGGCAACTCTTATAGATTCAGTTTTGCGTGGTGTTGATTTGAAATCTTCTTCCGTTATGGTTTACTTAGACGATGTTATAATTATTTCTCAGGATTTCAATTCCCATCTTGAAACTTTGGATACTGTTCTCTCTTTTACATGCTGCAGGTCTAATGGTTAATTTTGGAAAGTGTCAGTTTTGCGAACTCCAGTATTTAGGGTATGTATGTTGTGGATGAATTAAGATTACGTCCAAATCCTGCCGCTGCTTTCATTCCGTGACAATTGAAAACTTTAAGAATTAGGATATTATGACCACCATGTCAAAAAAAGAGGGTACAAAGGAACTACAACGTAACAGAAATTTTATTGTTTGATATGTTCAATTGACCCTAAAAATGATAAAACCGTGGAGTGCTACCTTTTAAAGGGGTGCGTTTTTGAGAACGAAGTAAAGAGGTGGTGTTTTCAGTTTTTTGAGTTTTACTCGAAAACTATGCATTTTTTCACTATAGTTGTCACCAGAAATGTTGTAGCAAATTGAATTTCTCATCGAAATGAGACCTTCTGAAATCAAAAAATTTATTTTTAACAAAAATATGTCCCAAAAACGCGTTTTTTCTTTTTTTTGGTTTTTTGGTTTTTCGTCTTAATAACTTTTTTCTGAGTTATATTAGGTAAATGTAATGCCATATTCCAATGAAAGCTGGTTTTAAGACCTTTAAAATGGTGCCTGGTAGAGGTTTGTACAAATAAAATCAACGGAGATATAGCAATTTAACCAACGATACTTTTTCTTATTTTTATAAAATTTTTATTACTTTCGGTATTATTTTGTCTAATAAATTTATTTTTGTGGATGTGAAAGTTAAAATAAGTTTCTAGGTGATTGGATATTATTATTTATTTATTTAAACAACAGTTAATTATATATATCTCATAAATTTTCAGTTTCATTTTGTATATTTTCAATATTAATATCAATTTCGTCGCCATCATTTTCATCAATGTCCTCTTCAGAAAAATCAGGCTCATAAGCATTCTCACAATTTATTCCCATACATTCTTTGCAGAACATTGAACATTTTATTCCCAACTTTCGGCAGCCACAATTTCCTTGGCATACTTTAATACATTTACGAGTTATTTTTTCAAGTAAATTTTCAGGTGCAGGAGATTTATTATTCAAAATGGGAACTAGCCCAATTATGGAATTTTTCCAACTCCAATCAAGTGGATTTAAAGTACAACCATTCCACTGTTGCATCTGAAAATATACTCTTAACCCATGATGTTTGAGAGCATCAGTTGTTGGAGGCAATCGAATTTTTCAAAATTAAAAAAATTACCTCGATGTATTTTTACTTGCAAAATGCTAGTATTGAGGATATCACTGCTGCATCTGAGTGCATTGTAACTATAAATTTTTCCATTATAATTGTTGACTTTGTGGGCCTAAAACTTACCTCCAAAACAATAGATTTCATTATCAAAATATGACAAGTTTAATTTTCGCCAGTCGCTACTGCTTCCAATGAAAAATTATCCAAAAGACGCTCTTTTTTGTTGTTGCGCTCTCAAAATGCAACATGTATGTATAGCTCAAAAAATTGACAGTCTAAAAACTTATCGATATAAATTATTTCAAAAGTATTCAACAAGTGCAAAATTTACCTTATCTCGATTGCCTTCAACAAAATTGTAAGTAAATTTGACATGGCTCTATGGACTAACACATTAAATACTTGACGAACTAAATAGTTCATTAATAGACGGCTGAAGTATATCGAATACTGTTTACAAAAATGTTTACTTTTCTAAAATCATAATATTAGAGTCCCTTTATTATTTTTTGCTGCTTAAGCATAACGTGTCAACAGCATCTCATTAAAAAGAAAGATATCCACAAAAATAAATTTATTGTGTTTGACAGTACCTGTCAGAGGTAATGGACAATCAATTGCAAATGGTGTAGTCTATACCGATTTTTCTTTTTGGCCTTTGTGGTCTTTCATTTCCTATATCGTCTCTTGTATATTCTTACCTTTCTCTTAGTTATCAATATGTATGCTTCAGAGGCTTCTCATCGCGCAGTTTTTATGTCCTCTCCGGTGTTCCTCAGGGGTAAGTAATGGGACCACTGTTATTCAATATCTTTGTTAATAACTCTGTTAACTGTTTGCTGATATAAAAAGTATGTTTCAGAACTGCGTTGATCTCCAGGGAAATCTCAACAGACTTGGCTTTTGTTGTGAATCTAATGGATTGCGTTTAAACATTAAACAATGTAAAATATTAAGTTTTTCTGGGAAGAAGGTAAATTTTGATTTTAAATATGGTATAAGTAACGAATTCACTAATCAGATTTTATTAAGGGTTTAGGTGTTTATTTGTTTACTTCGACTCCAAGTATTCATAAATAAAATAATTTCGGAACAAATAAAAGTTTTGACTTTGTAATACGAAATGCTCGAGAGTTCTCAAATATTAACACCATAAAAATGTTACATGATTTCGTCAGTATTGTCAGTCAAGTCACCACATAAACTTGGGTACATAACGTTATATTCACACTACGCTCTTGGTAAGTACTGAGTGTAAAACTTTAAACAAGTCGAAAGCGCTGTCAATTGACATTATTTGTAATGTGACAGTTTAGACATGACCAAAAATTAGTAGTGAAAATGATATCAACATTTAAAAAACAGATTTTAATAAAATAAATAGGAATATAACACCTTCACGGTGCACCGTTAAGGATGGAAAAGTACGAGCAACTGTCTGTTGTTGGAGAAGGATCATACGGCATTGTCATGAAATGTAGACACCTACCGACAAACCAAATTGTGGCAGTGAAAAAATTCCTAGAAACCGAAGAAGACGCAAGTAACAGAAAGGTAGCCATACGAGAGATTCGACTGCTGAAAAGACTAAAACACGAAAACTTAGTAACTATGATAGAAGCATTTAGACACAGGAAACGGTTCTATCTAGTGTTTGAATTCGTAGATGGTACCTTGATGGACGAGTTGGAAAGGGCGCCTTTAGGTCTAGGCGAGCAAAAAAGCAGAGAGAGGATATTTCAAGTCCTGAGAGCTATAAGTTACTGTCACAAGAATCGCATTGTGCACAGAGACATAAAACCTGAAAATATTCTAGTTTCCTCGAAGGGTTTGGTGAAGATCTGTGATTTCGGCTTTGCAAGGATTCTCAGCGTGTCTCGCGAACTTTGCACCCAATATGTGGCCACTAGGTGGTACAGGGCGCCAGAATTATTAGTTGGTGAACGATACTACGGAACGCCAGTTGACATTTGGGCTATAGGTTGCTTGTTCGCAGAGATGATGACAGGAGAGCCGTTATTTCCTGGAAAAACCGACATAGACCAATTGCATCTCATCGTAAAAGTATTGGGTAAACCCTGTTCTAGGCATCAAAAGTTATTATCTAAAAATTCACAGCTCAGAACAAAGTTCAAGGGAAAATCTGACACCAGTATTGACCTTAATAGGCTCTTTTATTACTGGCCTTTACCAACGATAAACTTCCTGGATAAGTGTTTGAAAATGGATCCACACAAGCGATTTATAGCCGACGAATTACTTAAGCATGTTTTCTTTACTGCTGATCAGTTTCCTACAAGATTTCTGATCACCCTAAGAGAGATGGTCGAGATAGAATTCAACAGTCCACTTTTAAAAAGCTTCAAACATGAGGTTCTGAGGTCAACAGATAAAGCGGATAGTGTAGAACAACGAAAAATGCAACAAATTCCTAGCTTGTGGAGCATTACTTTGAAAGATAACTCATTGAAACGCAAACTTTTTGTCAAATAACATAAACATCTTTTTGGAATGACATTTATTTAACGAGAAACAGCACAGGAAGTGTGCAATAATAATCCTGTACTTTTTCTCTTCACACATACACATACCCTCGTAATTCTTCGTCGTCGTATTCGAAGAGGCAGGATTAAGTTAGCAAACGTGACACCTACACGTAGGGAACTGTAAATGCGATTATGTATTATACATAAATAAATTTACATCCTTATTAAATATGCATTAAAACTAGCGTATTGGAAAAGTGCTGAGGAAATGACGAGGGAGAACAACGGAGCAACACAAATGCGGAAATTGTGAAGCATCTATTTTATCCCAGAATTGGATTCTGAAACTATTAAAATATTTCTCAAATTATTACTGATATACATTGTCTTGAAATTTAATAAATGATTTCAGAGTAAGAGCATTTTTAATATTTTGAAATATTTTCTTTAAGAAATTTGCACAGTCAGTATTTTCGTGTATAACACCCATTAAATGTAAATTGTAGATTGTACACATATAAATGGATACACAATTTTCTCCCTGCGACCAACCATAAATGGGTCTCCATGATCATCTAAATTTGGACTTACTATACTCCATATAGTTTTGAAAGTGAAGCATAATTTATGGACCGCAGATCTTTGTTTTTTCTTGTAAAATCTACACAGGCAATATTATTCGGATATGTGTATTCCTGAGTTGGTAGTTAGTCCTGTTATCGTCCTTATCGACTTTTCTTTAGAAGGTCAACTCTTTTAATCATTTTAGGAACTTCTCGATTTGGCTCTGTCAAAGGGTTTCTTGTCACCATTTATTTATATAAAGTGCAATAAAATGTCTATTACTACTTTTTCGACTGGTGTATATGACAAGGTGTGAACAGCTGATGAGTTAGTTAAAGCAGGTTCGTCTACATCACTATAGCAGAAAGATAATTGCAAATTTTCGTACATTTCAAGCTCTGTTTTCTGCAGCCTCAGTTTTGTGTTGTGCAATTGCTCTTACAATTACAAGAAACAATTTTTCAATAAATTGCCATGGCCAATCGTGCGATAACATGGAGAAATCTCTGTTAGATGATACCTAAGAATTTACAGAAAGTATTTTTGAAAATACAGATTTCATACAAGACGAAGAAGATGGTGATTCATTCATTCCCGCCAAAAGTAAAATCGGATAACAGTAAATTTTTATAAATATAAATCATTATTGCTTTGTATTTGTTTAGTGTCCTTATCCTTTTGAAGTTTTTAAAAGGTACATATTCTATAAAAAATTCTTTTAATAAAGCAAAAAATATGAAATATGAAAAAAATAATATTTATTAAACACCACAGGACCGTCTGCACTTCTCTTGAAATTTCATCCTATGCTTTAGCGATGATCTGTCTCGTAATTTATACTCGAATAGCCATTGGGCGAGTCCGGTATTGGTAGACCAGTCGGCCTGATGTAGAATCGACGGCGGCGTGCTGGTCGTCAAAGCAAACCTGTATTGGTCCATTAGGTCGTAAATCATTTTTTGCATGGTATTCTATAATTAGTTTGGTGTCGAACGAGGTACACTTGGCTTTGCCAGTGCAGTGGAGAGCAGTGCTTGGCGTTGTGTATTTATTGTTGGTATAATACGTATTATTAATTATTAGTTAATATTATTATTTGTTCATATCGTAACCAGTAAAGGGTAATATAGTTGTTAAAATAAATAGTATATGTAATTATCTAGTAATTTAGTATGGCTTTCTGGAGACCCTTTGAAACTGAAGATAATGAAATAAACCGGGAAAATTGCCAAATAGTCGAGCCGGTTTTTGTCGAAAGCGTCGAAACAAACTCAAGAGTTTAAAAACAAAGATTTACACATACAAAGTCAACGTATTATTTTAAATATATATGAATGTTTGAAAAGAGAAAATAGTGAACAATGTGATAAAGAATTTATGAAACGGATTAGCGAATTAACTAATTGTAGGATATCATAAACGACAATCTATCGCGTAATTAAAGAAGGAGACGTTATTAACCACGGTACAAAGGGGAAACGGAAAAATACAAAATTAAAGAATACTGAATATGTAATACGGTGCACAATTTATAATATGTATAGAGAAAATAAAGTTCCTACTTTAAACATGATTCGAGATAAATTAAGCGATGATCCTGATTATAATTATAAATCTTTAGATACATTACGATATGTTTTATTACAATGCGGTTTTAAACATAAAAAACTTGACAATCGTATGGTAATTGTTGAATCACGACATATAGTTGCACTGCGGGAAGATTGTTTACAAAAAATTAGGGAATATCGTCAACTAAATAGGAATATAGCTCGGAATATAATATGTAGTATATCTAGACGAAACAGGGCAAAATTTTTCTGAACGCCTATAGATTCCGTACGAGTTAAATGTTTTTATGGGGTTCCAACTGATATCGTAACGACTATATTATTCAGTCAGTAGTAGAATTTATATGAATATTTTTAATTTATAAATATTTATTGTTTAATTTGCGACGGATTAATACCGACAATGTATATATTTTATGACGGAATTGTACTCATTTTGACGGGATACCTAAATTAAAAAAAATATATTAAAATTGATCTAGCGGTTCTCGAGATATAGATACGAAGCGAATTTGAAACGTTCAAGTCAAAAATATCGCGCACAACCGAAATCGGCGTTCATCCGCATTGAAAATAAAATTTTAATCCTTTCTTTAATTGTCTCTAAAATCTCGGGACGATACGTCTAATTAACAATTAACGTTATAAAAATCTATCTTGGGAACAAAGAGATGTATATGATTCTTTTTATTACCATTTAATGTAAAAAGAGCGAATCTCCGCGCGGCTTTTGGCTGACCCTGCACACATGTTGGTCTTTGGATTACCGTCTTTTTCATAAATTTCATCAACATCGCTTTTTGCAATAATAATGCGCAATAAGTTCGAGCTATATTTTATAGTTAACAAATTTGTACATAACATAAAATAACTAATTTTCCGATATGCTGTCTAGATTTTCATGGCAAGTAAAAAAAGTGAAAAAACACCTAAACTTATTTGCAATTTGCCAACTTAGCTTCTCTTCTTTCGAGTTACTTTTTTGATATTATCATAAAGAGCAATAAATGTCTACCAAAATTTTTTTTAATTTTCAGGTTTTATGATCTAATTCGACTGGAGTAATTAACTTTTATGTTAAATAGAAAGTAATAGTTTTTGTTTTTCATTGAAAAATGCGCTGTGTGTAGGGGCTTAATTTCTTTCAATAAAATTATTGTTTCAAGTTCTGCTCCAGTAATATATTTATAGGACAAATACTATTCATTGTACCTATGATAGCTTTCAAAGAAGGTTAATTGAGATCTTAGAAGACAATAAATACGATCTTTTAAGAGAACTATTTATTCTTAAACTTCTTGGTTCTAGAAACATATGTGGTGTCATTACGTCATCACTGCGTCGATTGGAAAAGTTAGTAAAAATTTGTCTATGTCTTACCTCTCTACAAGCTTCAGATAGGTTAGTGTTTATTCCATGAAATATTACATTTTGATATAAAAACACGATCAGCTTTACTGTATCACAGTTTTATCAGTCTCTCTTTTAAGACATTGTTCTTTCAAACTACTTGCATTTGTAAGTTAATTTCTTTAGGAAAGCAATAAATTAATTTTATGAGGACAGCAAGGGTGCAAGTTTACCAACTATGCGTGTTTCATAACTACACTGGTTCGACAAAATTATTTACTGGTAGAAGGGGATTCGTAATTTATTATCACGCTTGGAAGTGATTCGAAGAGAAAAACTATCGTCGTATTTCTGAAATATATGTGTAACTCCTTGACCATAGATCATGGTTTTGATGGGATTTCGCTAACATAATTTCTTTTCTGTTACATAATTTTCAATTTTATTTTTAGTTCCCCTACAGGTAACCAAATATTAAATAATTCGTAGAAAACTTGTTTAGTTTCTTCATATTCATTGAGCCGCAGCTACATTGGAAACTGTACCTCAACGGCAAACAACTTTATTTTTTATCATGACAGGTACCTACTAGATAACAACAAATACAATCTTTACATGCATTTTTCTATGAATTAATGCAGGCGATGCTTTAGACCCAATTTACTCGAAAATGGTTCATTTTTGAGCTATGAAACAAGAGCACATTTTTTGTTCAAAATCGATTACAGGTTCAGGAAAACGTAATCAAATTACATAAAACTAGGATATGCAAAAGTTATGAAGACATAACCTTGAGGACATGTTGGCCTAGGCCGCCCCTGGCGTCAGATCGAAATAAGCACCATGTAGTTTTAATGACCTTAAATAGATGTACACTTCTTCCAAAAATTACTTAAATCCTTGAAAGGGTTTTTGAGTTATTGCGGAAAGTTGTTATTATTTTTTTCTAAACAACACCCTGTAACTCAGTGAGAGTGCATCGCAGAAAAATATTTTATAAGAATATTAATCTTATTTTGGTCTGGTCTACTCTCTGGTAAATTTTTGTACGCTGAGTCTGGGACACCCTGTATATTACATTTTAAATATAATCCTTCTACTAATGCGATCGCTGCGCCTATGTATAAGCCCCTAAAGGAATTAAAGGATCTGTCTGTACAGCACCGCATCCTTATGTGTTTTTCACATTGCGAAGGGCTACAGCTGCATAGGGCTATAACTATTAATATTAATTCAAGCTGCAAACAAGTGATAAAGGGGACTTTTTAATAGGATTACTATTATTAATGATTTTTTTTATTTATAAACATGATTTTTCACTTCCTATTCATCCTGATCTAAAGCTATATTTTAATATACCGGATGTCCAAAAAGTCTGGACACACCTGAATAATTTCCCAGGTAAATTATTTTTGAAAAATGTTAAGGTCATTCTTGTAGTAACTTTTGACAAGGAATTCAATGATGACCTTGGATTTGACCTTGACTATGATCTGGAAGGTTATTTCAAGGTCACCTCCAT